TGGGACGTATTTGTTGTGATGAGGATGTGAAGCTGAACGATGCTTCTGTCGTACTGGAAACATCGAGATTGATGGGTGCTGGAGCACGTGTACCGCTCAAGTTCGATCCAAATGTCACCATCAACGGTACCACAACTCTATGTCCCATGTTTCCTGGAGCGATTCTGGCTTTCAAAGGGAAGAACGAGACAGGTGAATGGTTCCAAGTATCGCAGATACTGACGGTTTGTGAGATTCCATCCAAGTTCTATCTAATACTTATAATATGTTTATCCTAGCTCCCGATGCTCGCAAAGAGTCTCGAGTCGAGTAGACAAGTGCGACCTATCTCAATGGCAGTGGCAGCTGGTCCTTTCACGGCAGATTCAGATCTAGCCTATGCTTCGTTCCAAACACTTATGAGTCAAATTCAAAAGTCTGCACCCTCGTGGCTTTTATTAGTAGGGTGACCCGCTGAGTATTGTTGGTCTCAACTCACTCTTGACAGTTGGGACCGTTCATCGATGTAAATAATGCCAAGGTACAGACAGGAGACGTCGATGTGTCACCCCTGGATACGTTTCGCTCAAAAATGCTCGCACCTCTTCGGGCAGTGATGGAGGAACATCGTGGAATGACTGTCTTGATCATACCTAGTCCCCGCGATCTCATCTCTAATCACGCAGTTTTCCCTCAAGCACCTCTCCATATGACCTCAGAAGTGAGTGCCACTACAACAAAAAGATAAAGTATTGACCATGATACTAGCGCATACTATTCCTACCTAATCCCTGCACCTTTACAATTGACCATGTCCGATTTGCAGCCTCTTCTGTCGATATTCTGTTTCACTTGCAAAGCCAGCTTCTCCGCAAGAGAGTTGTTCCCACTGAACCTGCTGCCAAACCCGACATGATGCAAATTTTATCCTCCTGTATCCTAGAACAGAGAAGGTGCGCGATTCGTTATAAAAGAGCTCTTAGTTGCGGCCTCTAAGATAAATTTATCGGCAGTTTTTACCCTCTCTTTCCCTCCTATCCTCAAGATGTCAACCTAGATATCTCTCACAGCGAGTTACTCAAGATAGAGGCGGTTGCCCCAGACGTCCTTATCCTACCAAGCAACCTTAAACAGTTCCACAAGGTATACCGCTAGTCTCGTTGAATATCTTCTGTCAGACCTCACCATTATCAGGTTGTCCAAGGAACAGCTATTGTCAATCCATCCTTAGCCAGCAAAGGGACTCATGCCTTAGTCCATATTCCCGACGCTAGCACTGATCCCGATTCCACTGCTGGAGAGAGGGCGAGGGTCCAACTTCCTTCAACTGGCTTATCAATGAATGCGGCATTGGAAAGCTGAGGTCATTTAAGATCCGCTCAACCTAGATTTGAAAAATGTATTAATGATGCATAATACAAGTACAACAATGCTGTGGTGTCATGTGAGGACTCATCACCGTCGCTATTTTGATAGATATAAGTGTGCTGAAGTTTATTCAGATGGGCACTTACTAAGGATTGACCGAGCTATTTGAAAAGCAACTGTTTTAGTGTGACGTATGATATCACCATGAACCACTTACGTTCATTCTTTGTTGTCCTAACCAGCTATTTGGTCCGCCCCCTCCTGCTGCCTTGGGTTGATTGGCGAGGTGTTGCTTTGCTAGCTTCATTCCAAAGACATGAAGATGACCTAGCATCAACTCTTGTTCTTTACGATATCGCTGCTCTGCTTCGATGGATAATTTCTGGGGAAGTTTGAGAAATGAAGCATGGCAATGGGAAGAAACGTAGAGGCCCACCTTCACACGAGCTAATTCGTCCTCTAGAATCTTGATCTGAGAGCGGAAACTTTCTTCGGCCTCGTCAAATTGCCCTCCCTATGATACGCGTCTTAGAAAGATGTATGGAAGCCATTATGGAAGTCTTACAGCTAAATTATTTAGGGCTTTTGCATGCTCTTCTCTGAAGAGCTTGTCTTGCGACTTGATGAACTAGAGTCGAGGAAGAAAATTAATCGATATCCGGCTACGTATGATTACCGCAACGCATACCTGTCTTGCCTTGGTCAACTTCTCGTTGGCGGTCTTTAATTGCTCTCTGGCATTTGATGCCTCCTCATGCAAGGACATCATTTTAGCTTTGACGTCCTCTGGTATGTCCTTTCCTGCGAGTACCATTCTGAGATCGCCTAATTCTCTTTCCCTCTCAAGCATTCTTTCTCGCTGACCCAAGCCATCGGTCTGCATGGTGACCTTTTCCATCAAGAGAGAATTGACTTGTTCAAGGAGCATCTTGTTCTTATCTGATACCTCTGTGAGTTGGCCACGTAAAGTATTCACTTCGGATTCCAAAGCTTCTTTGTCTTGGTTGAGGGTCTCTCTCAGTGAGTGTAGAATCTCCACTTGATCCTTATTGACAAGGTTGACTGATTTGGATTTAGCATCAGGGTGTCAGTTTGAATGGGAAAGTGATAGCAAACGTACGGTCAGACTTTGCAATAGTAAGCTCCTTGTTTACTTGCTCGAATTTGATCTCGAGCTCGTTGTGCTCTTTTTTGAGCTTGTCCAGTTCATCTACAGTCTCGTTCAGCCTTTGTCGCAACGCGATGGCCGCTTCGCCCCCGTCACCCCTTCCTGCTCGGATTTCCTCCATCTCTGCCAATAAAACCAACTTTTCGCGGTGTTCCTTGAGATATTCGGCCTCATATCGGCTCTTGAGGCGCTTGGCGTCCTCTAACAAACTCTCCATAACTAGAACCCTAGACTCTTCTTCCTTTCCTTTGCTACCCTTCAGGTCTTCCAATTCCTTCTCCAGTTTGCG